TGTAGGGTTGGATCTGAGGAAGGGTATTGTTTAAATATGGTTTTGTCATGGAACATTTTGTTTTCTCCATCTATAGTGATTGAAAGCATTGTGTTCTCTTAATGTCTGCAGAATGTCTGTTCAGGATCTTCTGGCTTTCAGAGTTTTCACTGAGGTCAGGTGTGATTCTTACAGGTCTGTCTTTATATGTTACTTGGCCTTTTTCCTTTGCATCTCCTAATATTTTTTCTTTGTTGTGATGTTTAGTGTTTTGATTACTATATAGCAAGGGGACTTTTTTGCTGTTTTGTTTTGGTTTGGGTTGGTATTCTGTAAGCTTATGTATCTTCATAGACATATCCTTCTTTAGGTTGGGAAAGTTTTCTTCTATAGTTTTGTTGAATACAAACTATACCTTTGAAATGGACCTTCTATCCCTATTATTCTATACTTTTGTTGAATATATTGTCTATATGCTTGAGTCGGGCCTTCTATTCCTATTATTCTTATGTTTAGTCTTTTCGTGGTGTTGTGTGTTAAGAATCTGTTGGGTTTAACATTTACTTTTGTTACAAGCAGTTTTCCCACCAGCATGGTCCCACAGCCATGCCAGCCCCAAATAACACACAGTGATGCTGTATTAGATATAAAGCTGTTGACCTGTTACTAGTTTCTTATTTGCCAGCTCTGTCTTAAATATTAACCCATTTCTATTAATCTAAGTGTTTCCTTGTGGTCTTATCTTACCAGAGAGAGGGTTTGGACCTTCTTCTCAAGTCCCTATAACTTAACTGTCCTCTATTACATCTCCCAGGATCCTCCTTTTCTCCTAGTCCCACCTATCTTGCTTTCCTATTGGCCAACAGGGTTTTATTCATTAACCAATAAGAGAAACATATTTACAGAATGACATTTTCTATCATTCTTTGACTGATGAATCTATGTCTTCTATTGTATTTTCAGTGCCTGAGATTCTCTCTTCCATCTCTTGCATTCTGTTGGGTATGCTTGTATCTGTAGTTCTGTTCATTTACCCAAATTTTCCATTTCCAAAATTCCCTCTCTCTCTCTCTCTCTCTCTCTCTCTCTCTCTCTCTCTCTCTCTCTCTCTGTGTGTGTGTGTGTGTGTGTGTGTGTGTGTGTGTGTGTGTGTGTGTTTTATCACCTCTATTTCAATTTTCAAGTCTTGGACTTGTTTAGTTGTTTTTCTTGGTTTTCTTGGCTTTTATTAAGGGATTTATTTATTTCTCCCAATTTTTTATTTGTCTTTTCCTTTATTTCTCAAAAGGAATTTTTTGTTTCTTCTTTAAGGGTCTCTATCATCTTCATAAAGTTCTTTTAAGGTCATTTCCTTATGCTTCATCTATGCTGGGAAGTTCAGGTCTTGCTAATGTAGGACCAGTAGTTTCTGGTGATGCCATATTGCTCTGTGTGTTGAATGTGTTCTTACACTGCCGTCTACCATCTCTTCCTCCAGTTGGCACAGGTAGGACCTATAGCTCCAGTGGTAACTCTTCCTCCAAGTGCAGCTGGGTCCCTTCCTCCAGGTGCAGCTGGGGTCTCTTCCTCCAGGTAGAGTTGGGACCTGTGGCTCTGGTGGTCCCTGTCCCTCCAGGTGCAGGCAGAGCCTGCAGGTGGGGTGGTTGCTGATGAGGCAGCAGGGGATGGTTGATGGAAGAGGGTGTTGCTGCTGGTTGCTCTATGTACAGAGTTTTAAGATTAGAAGCAAAGTCCTTTCTCTGATTTTGTTCAGTGTGAGGTATGTACAAGAACCCAGAAGCCAGCCCCTTAAAGTCAGGTAAAAAGAGTGCTGGCAAGCATGGATCAAGGTGGACAGAAAGGCAATGAAGCATTCATTTCCTTGGAGATCTAGGAACTGAGTCCCCACCTGGTTTCCCAGCTCTCCAGATGGCCCCAAAGCTAGTATAGCACCATGTTATTCAGTGTCAGTGGTCAGCCTCTATGCCCATTGAAGGCATGCATCAATGGGTTTGTATGGCATAGTCATCCATAGTCATCCATAGTCAGATTTAGGTTCATCCCAAACAGGACACATGGTCTTCTTGGAGAAATCTTTAAAGAAAAGGCAGCAGGTAGTTCCCAGAATGGAAACCTGGGTGACACACCACTCTTTCAGTCCTGGCTTCCTCTTGCTCAGTTGCTGCAATGAACACTGCTAGATGGGCCCAACCATTAACCCTCTAAGATTTCTCAGCCTCTCCTCTCCTTTCCTAAAGAAACTGGGTTCTTAGTCCAAAGAAGTTGAAGGTAGCAGGACAGTGGTTACACACACCCTTAATAGCAGCACTGAGAAGACAGAGGCAGGTGGATCTCCGAATCTGAGCCAACCTGATCTACAGAGTGAGTTCCAGGACAGTCAGAACTACACAGAGAAACCCTGTCTCAAAAAATAAAATAAAAATAAGATGGATGGATGAATGGAGATAGATAGGCAGACAGACAGACAGATGAAAGTTGAATGAAGGTGGCTTGAGAAGATGTCAATGCATTACTGGAATGGGTGATTTGGAGGTCAAGTTCTTGCACAGGTGAGTTTTCATTATGCCTTCTGGGCCTGTACAGCCAGACTAGGCCTGGCCACAGACTGTCAACAAACAGTGGCTGAGACCACTTTCTTTGGGGGCATCCCTGGGCTATGGGCCAGTAGCCAGATGTGTGAGGAGCTCTGGTTTCTGCATGCACACTGTTTGTCTTGCTTGCATGTTGCATCCCTCATCCTGCACCACCCACGGCCCCAGGATCAGGGAACAGGACTGTCTGGTTCATGGAGATGCTGCCCTGCTTCCCTCAGGATGTGGCTGTTGAGTTCTCCATCTCACCACCCAAGGCTGCCAGTGATGAAGACTGTGTTTTAATTGGTTGACTTCACCCTCCATCCTTTCCCACAAATATGATCTCCCTCTGCTTGAGTGGATACTATCCCTTTCAGCTTCCTCCTTCCTACTGCTTGAATAACCATGTTATGTGTTGCTATGCAGCTTTTAACTGCCTTCATCCCCTCCCCCCTCCATCATTTGCCTTGTTTTTTCCATGTAGTATACTCTGTCCTTGTCCCTCTGTCGCATTCATCCTCTAAGGAAGCAGCTCAGAAACAATCTAGATATCGCCATGGTGCAAGAATGTGTAAGGCTTGTTACATGTGAACAGTTCCTATTCTGGGTCAACAGAGAGTGACAATTAAGCAATGTAAATATATTTATTATGAATGGCTGCACTAAAGATGAAATTCAAAACAATATCATGTACCATGAACAGATGTTTCAAGATTAGGATCGATACATGGAAACAGGCGGGTGCATGCAGAAAGGTTTGCAGTGATGTGACAATCACCATGCAGAACATGGTTGACAACCAGCTTTGCAAATGCAGAGTCACCCACATCTGGTTTCCTGAGCAGGTCATAGTGGATTCCAGCTGTTTATTCCTGGCAGAAGGAAGGGAGCCTACAAAAAAAAACTATTAGTTTATTAGTTGGCTGATAGAATTTATCAATTGACTGCAAGATTACACAAACACACATGCCTATTTTGTAATGCTACTATGAACATATGATTAATATTTATGAAATATGTAGCTCACTTAAAATTCTCTTATGTAAACACACGCACACCAAATGTTCTTAAATTTATGGGGGGAAAATTTCACTAATAGCAATCCCTAGAAATCACCAAAAATAATTCTTATTTACATAAAACTCATTGAAGTGTCTGCTTCTTTTGCAATGATTCTAACAAAGGGCAGACTAGGTAAGATTCACAAGAACATAAAGATGGGGAGATTTTTTTTAATCTCTGAGGGCTTAATTTTACACTGGTGTATCAAAATAGCTTTAGATAAAATTAGACATGTGGGAAGGAATATATAGGAAGAGAATGTATGGTATAAATATCCAACGGAGGGATGTTTGTCATCTGCTTTAAGCAGGCTCCTGCATCTCACACAGACTCATTGATTGCTAGTGGACTCACATGTGGGTTTTCAGCATCTATCCAAGGCAGTGGACCATGGGCATATTCTGTGGAGTGTCTCTGTAGTCTAATTAATTTCTTGAAGATTATTAATAGAATGTTGTTATGACCAAGAGAAACATTTTTAAATCTGCTTACGACATTGTTCAAAATAACCTGGGATTTTGAAAAGAGCACAAAAATCAAAGTTTTTGTTTCGAAACTAAATAGAAATGATATGTCCCTATCCCCTCTCCCCTCGCCCAGTCACCATGCCACCAGTTGACTCCAACCATCCCTGCCTCCAAGTGATCTCCAGCACAGACAGGTTCCCAGGGTCATCTACACTCAGAAGCCTGAAAGCTGGTCCCTACCCCTGCTCTGTGCACCACAGCAGGCCTCTGAGAGGTGCTGCTTTCTCACCTGTCTCAGCCAGGTGTGCTTCCCTGGGAAGATGCCTCACTGTGCCCTTGGTACCACCAGCAGCTCATCCAGCATCAAGTGACACTTGGTGTTTCATCTAAACTATGAGATCTTCAGTGATAAGAGAGCTAAAATCAGGCTGTTCGCATTGCCTCTCTCCAGGTAGCCTCCTTATTCTCTAAGTAATGGTTCTGATGGGGACAAGAAAAGCCATGTACTGACTTTGGGGCCACTGAAGATGGCAAATGTCTACAAGGTTGCCTGGGTCTACATGGCTGTCCTTGCTCAGTCCTTTCCTCCTGGAGTGTCACCTGTGTAAAAGTAAGGCTAGGCTAGGCCTGGGATGAACCACCTTCACCAAGTATTGTTTTGTTTCGTGTTGAACGAACATGTCCTATTCTGTAATGCAGGTCCCAGCCCACCCTCCGTTGAATAATATATTTTCAGTGATTCTGAAAATGGGCCGTGAAGCCGTCTGCCACATGGCTCATGTTTGCACATCTCCATATAGTTACGATTGCCGAATTTGACAGTATAACTCTGAATCTGATTAATTAAGAATGTGTAAAAACAAAGTTCTTGCATTATAGCTCGTGCCTTATCTTTGTGTCTTTTACTGTGATGTTGTAGAGCTTGGATCATATGGAAAACTAAAATATTATGACACAATGACTGAAGAAGGTAAGGATGATTTCAGAATTGTATGCCGTTGGCTTTTTCTTTCCCTTCTTTCATTTATGGTGTCTGTTGCTTGCCCATTTTTTAGCCTCTTTATTTTCTTCTTTGCATGACCTCAGCAACATTGTGTGATTTGGTTTTGGTTTTTGTTTTGGGGTTTGTTTGGTTTATTTTGTTTTGTTCGGTTTGTTTTGAGTTCTGCATTTTTGTCTAGTTTTTGCCATTGTGTTTAGTTGGAATTAGAGACGTGCAATACCATGGGTAATCATGTTATTCCATTCAAACGATCAAACCATCCCAATTATATAACACACGCAGAGAAATGGTGTCGGCAATGTAAGCACAAATCAACACCCACACACTCACAGGAACATACAGAAACTCGTCCCCCGATACTCTCCTGAGATGCCCTGCACTTCAGAGGGGTATTAGTTTCCGGTGGATTTGTGGTTTGTGCAAAGCAATAAAACACCTCAAGTATCGCATACACCAGCCTGAGACCAAGTTCTCAAGCAGAGGGCTGTGGGCCGTGTCCTAAGGCCCTGCTTCCCCTGCCAACTCAGACAACAGCCTTAATCTGATAGGCCAGAGTATTCCAGGCATTCCAGGCCTCTGAATAGTTTATATGAGACTCCCTCCCTGTGAGGTCAGGTGAGTCATCTGAACAGTTTCCTAAATAGTGACTTATTTTAAAATGCACTTTCTAATAATTTCCCGTCCTTATCGCAGAGAATAACTTTGTTCCAGGGAGAATCACTTTTCATAATTATTTAATTCTGGAACAGAATCATCGAACAGCAATTTGATGTCCTTGAATCTTGTAAAGGGAGACATCTTCTCATCCTAGCTGCAGCCCCACCCCACACATACCTCCACATCTTCAGGAATACATTATGTTTACTAAAAAAATTATTTTTACATGATTCTTTCTCTGATACTAATGAGCAGTCAGAAGGTACCCTAGGACGTCCTTCAACGCAATAAATTGCCAAATGTGTTGCATATCTTGCATTCAGCTTCCAGTATTTCTTAGCTGCCTTAGTTTGCCAAAGATCTCCTAGCTGCTTTGCATGCCCAAAGTGGACCATCTGACATTTCTGGGTAAGAGGAATCCCCTCCTCAGCCCCTCCCAGTTCTGGCTTCTGTGCATACCCCGACCCTCCTCCATTGTTCCCCGGGGTCTCTGGCTAACCACGGCAATGTAGTTAAGTGATCAGGCCACTAAGAAGATCTCAGGAGAGTCCTGACAACAGCCAGAGAAATGAAGATCCTTGAGCAGTGAGAGACCCAAGAACAGAATGCTGCCTATAAAAGTGCCCTTCCACCAGGGGACAGAAAGAGCTCTCTGAACATTAAAGGAAGCCCCTAGGTGGGCTGTTACTCCTGGCTTCGGGAAGAGGGTTTGTTAACTTCTACTGGCCTGTTGCTAATCTCCACTGTCTCCTTGACATCCTGTCCATGGCCTACCAGCCCCAACTCCCGTTTGTCACTTTAGTCTCCCTTTTCTTTCTCTGTTTCTTCCTTTCCTCTTTGTATAAGCATCTGAGCCAACGCTGCTGTGCAAAATTCCCTTCCTCTTTCCCTGCTACCCCAGAGTGAGATCGCATGGAGATACAGTAGTGGTCCTACAAGTCTGATAGTATTACTTGCTCATGGCTGGAATTTGGATGAAGATAGAGGTCAAACTGTTGTCTGAACTAAGAACCAAGGATGGTCCTTAGGAAGCTTGAGCACGTGTTTTGGTGGCCTCATGGATCACTTCTAACATTATCTCTGACTTTCCTTCCCCTCATGTATTTCCTAGTGTCTTATTCTTGAGTAACCATCCATCCCCATTATAAGCAAATAAGAACTAAAGCAATGTTCCATGAAAGAGTGTCCTGTGATGTTACTAGGTATATTTGAACAGCAAGGAAGGAAAGGAGGAAAGGAGCCATATTTGAAGCACTAAGGGACTTTTGACTTAGATTTCTTTACCAGGTGACTCTTGGCTTTTGACTGTGCTGTAAGACATCAGCCTACAAGGGATCACACAGAGGGCTCAGGTGTGCAGGGTTCTCAGGCTGTTTTGGTCAGAGAAATCTTTCTTAAGTGGATCTTCTTGAGGGAACATCCTGGAAATGCTACCTGAGGTTAACCCTCATCTGGAATGAAAACCTCTGAAATGGTAAAATCTGTTCAGCCCTCTCAGACCACACTATTGAACAGGACAAGTCAAATTTGGCTTAAACCTAATTCTTAAATTCCATCAAAGAGACCCAGAGTCAAATTAGATCCCTCAAAGATGACAATAGACATATTCTCAAGGACTTCTCATCTCTCACTTAAAAATAATAATCATGACTGTAATTTAAAACTCTCCATGCTGTTCAATTTAAGGGAGTGTAGTAAAGATGGAGGTGTTTGGGGCAATAACTATGGGTTCACCACCTTTGGGAAATACTCCACTCCATTTCCACAGGCATTGGCACTGTGGCTAGTCCTCCAGTAAGGCTTTATTAGCTCATGTGATGAGTCATCATTTACAACTATTTACAGGGATTCTCTAGACATGATGTAAGGTCAGCTGCTCGCAGCAAATCCCGTTTGTCCCCCTTGAATGGATCAAATGGGAAGTTGCGTTATACATGTCATCTTGTCTCCAGAGAAGAATGGAATGGGGATTTTTACACACACAGAACTGCCCTAGCTGGCACATTATTTTTGAGCACCTACTTGTGCTAGGCATCCTACTAGGTACTCTGAAGAAACAAGATTGGAGAGCAGGCAGTTGGTCCCTATGAAACTTATAGACGAAGGTAAACAATAACAGAGAATGACTGAGGGCACCAGGAAGAAAATGGTAAACACCAGAGAAGTTCAGAAGATGACGTAGAAGAAAATATCTTCCAGTAAGGAAGAGAGAAGATTTTTACCAGAAAGATGGTCTATGAATGATCCCTAGAAGGTCAACAGACATAGGATAAACTGGAGGAGGAAGACAGCAAGGACCAATTGACTGGCCCAAGAGGAAGATGAAACAGGGAGGCTACTCCAGCATTTTGAGTCGCTTTCACCTGCTGGGTGCAGCCCCATGGGCTGTGTAAACTTTGTATTGTCTCCCCGGCATCATGACTACACAGGTAGACTGTAATGACAGTGGAAAAAAATCAAGGTTCACAGAAGTATCTTAGTACTTGAGGAAACTGAGGTTCCAAGGAGCAAAGTGACTCACCTGGGAATAGAGACAGGAAGTGATGGTGTGGGGCCTGAACTCAGTACAAATCACACCAAAGCCCTGCCTTGTGCAGGTGGCTCTGGGAGCACTGACATTCGAGTCAAAGTCATAGTGTCTGCCACCTTGTTTCTTTTTGTTTCTGTAACAAAGTGCCCCAACAGATGCAACAGCACAAGACATCTATTCATCAACACGAGGATGGATACCGTGCTAGGGTAGGGTGCTAGGGTAGGATCAGGACCTGTGGCTGTCAAAAACAGTCTTTATGAGAATTTATGCCTAGTGAGAGACATGAGAGATAAAGGCTGTAAGACATTAATCCTGGAACACTCAGCAAGGTCCATCTCTCAGCCTTGGGAACCTGGAGCAGGCAGAGTCCCTGAAGCCCCAGACTTGCCCCCATCAAACATTGCCTCCACAGCTTCACTCCTGTGTTCCAAGATGATAAGCTGTCTAACCAATGTGTCCCCTTAATACAAGCTGTGTAGGAGGAATTTTATAAGCATGACAGGTTAGTGAGCTTTGCTTTTCCCAGGACTGTATTTGCTTCTGGAACAAGATATTCATGGAAACTCTGCTGAATGACCCTAATTGTTGTATTTCCATGACCTCAGCTACACAGAGAAGACAGTCAGACAGACAGACAGAGGGGAGGAGAGAGAGAGGGAGGACACTCTATCTCCTTGTCTCCTTAGACAATAATACTGCATATTCATGGAAGATCAACTTCAGATCTTTAAAGTGAGCAATCCATAGTTCATTTCTCACATTGGAGAATTCTCAATAAACTGATCATGACTTGGGGTGGTGGATGAATCCTAGGAGTGTGGCTTCAGGTGTGCAGACACCACCCCAAGACCACTGGTGGAACAAGATGCCACTACAGACTTCTTCCCTCAACATTGCTCTAAATGCAAGTGTATAAACTACTTCAGCGATGGTGAGATGACTTAGTAGGTACAGGCACTTGGTACCAAGTCTGATGTCTCAAGGTGTATACCCAGGACCCACATGGTAGAAAGAAAGAATCAATTCCCACAAATTGTCCTCTGATCTCTAGATACACGCCATGGCACAAGCCCTACTTCACCCAATAAATAAATAAACTAACAAATGTACAAAAGAAAAAAGTTAGCTCAACATTTTTTTCCAGCTAAACCCAATGTCTCAAGCATACTAGGCAAGTATTCTATCCCAGACTGACCTACTTTCCCAAGCCCCAGTTTATATGATGGATTTAAAGCAAAGGCAATATACATAAGTAATCATTTCTGCTCTTTGGAAATCAGCATTTTATAGAGACAGGTAGGTAGCTGGGCAGTTTCCTTGACTGACACTGTTGAAAGCAGTAATATGTGGTGAAAACTGCTTGCATCGCATTGTCCTGAATCCATTGCCACTTAACATAACCATTTGCAGAAGAGAAGGTTTCGTTACTGTTTAAAAGAAGCAGTCATTGTTCATTTGTATAAGTTAAAGTAGGGCAGAAAACTTTGTGATAGTGAGAACAAAAATGGTGAAATTAAGCCTGTTCCGTGGCAATTAACAGCTCCTTTACCTAACCTACAAACTACTAATGTCTTCCATGGGATGCTATACCATGTATGTGGCTAGGTATTTTTTTTAAACCCATTGTTTCAAAGAAACAAAAGCACCAAGCACTCTCTTAGTACTTCAGCCATCCAATGTTCTTAGCTGCTGTGAGCTAACACGATTCCCTTTCAAAGACAATTGGATTTTGAAATACTGTTCAAGAGTGTTCTCCATTGCCCAAGATACATCCTCT